ACATACATACATACATACATACATACATACATACATACATACATACATACATACATACATACATACATATATACAAACAAACCTTCTTTTCGTCCTGAAGACTAACCACATCCTTTGATTATTTCGAAGGTTTGGAGGTTTTTGTTATGGACAGCTGTCTTTGGCTGGAATATGTTTTTGAACAAGTAGCCTATTGGATTCATGTTGAAACAACTTTTGCACGTACACACACCAAACATCAATAAGGTGAAGTGTGACTTTCAATTAAAACTACTCACGTCTGTACCATCGAGTGAGTTGCTTTTATCGATTGGAATCTAACATGTACCAGCATAAGACAGTATCACCCTTCCAAACCATATGCGTATGTAGCAGTCAGCATATGTGCGAATTGTGTTGAGTTTTATATTCATGTTTTTGGGGCCACGGCGTAATGTTTCATTTATATGACTTGCACAATGCTGTATAAGGTGGATTTCACGTGTGGAGTGAGTAAAACTGATGCACAGTGCTGATGAGTTTCACCCAATAAAAGAACAGCTGTCCAATGCTCTCTGTTGGGTTCCTCACCTTAATAACAAGCAAAACAGGGCAAATGATTCCCTCTGAGGTTGAGAAGCAAACTGTTACAGCGATCGAACCGCATCTGAGCAAAAAAGTTGTATTTAATAGCACACATAAGTAATGGCCGCTGACCACTCAACTCAGCTGTCAGGCTTTTAACTTCCAACCCGAACGATCGTGGTTCCGGTTCCAGTTGGGAAACAAGGATAGTGGGCACAGCTGATGGGTCGTAACATAGATGAACCAATCGCCCAAGGAGGACACGTAGATTGGTTCTTACTGCATGAATGTAAACAATTAGCCGCAAGTTGGACTTAGGAACCCACTTAATAATATCCGTATTCAAACAAAACATCTGTTCACACAATCAGATATCAGTTATTAGTTTCCGCGTCCTGAAATATCGAAGACGGCAGCTAAAAAAAGAAACGGCTGCATGAATGCAGATTCAAGCATATCAAATCAAATACATCGGTGATGACTAAGCAGTCAAAATCACCAACTTCTCGCGCCGGAGATCATACGCTTGAAACCCACAGCTACCGCCTAATCCCTTATTTTTTGTATCATATGACACCCCTTTGGTCGCGAGCTTTCCCATCCTCAGGATTCTTTGTAGAATCATGTGTTACATGAAACGGAATTAACAGAGAAGAAGAAGAAAAGCGTCGAATCACGTCCAAACAGAACGTATGTATATTGTCATTTCTCTAACAACGATAATCACGAAGACCACTTTCACGGATTATTGAACAACCAACCCCATAGTTCATTGACGGGCATACTGAAGTGCTTGCATATAGGATGTCGCTCAAAGTACTGGTGAAACGGGATATGTTAGAACACATGTCCAAAAGCGAGCAGTTATTTTCGAATGATACATAATCGTGCTTGTTGAAATCATACCAAGGTTTATTGTTAGTGCGGACACATTTTCGTGTTGGGTCGAAAGGTGATTCGGAGAGGAAAGACGGGAGGGACGGGCTGGGTGTCATGTGTCTGTGTTTGGAGGAGTTCAATTGCAATTGGAGTGGTGGTGGTGATAATGTTGGTGATCAATGTAGACCCAGGGTAAATGGAATGCTTGAACCAGTTGCTTTTATGCGAATGGTTCTGGGGTTCGATTACCTTTGAAAACACTTTCTGGAAATAGCTAAAATAGGTGTGTTGATTTGTTGTGAAAGATCAGGAACGGTGAACACAAAACGATGTTCTTGTCCCGTCGACGAATCCATGAATTAAAATGTATTTGATTTAACTTTGCGTTAGAATCACAGTTACTTGTGAGTAGTGATGTTGGATAATTGATTTTTATTGATTTGAGCTGACTATTGATTGGGATTGGAAGGTGAAGGTGAAGTCCGAAGGATAGTCAGTCAAATCAAAGAATATCAATAATCCTATGCACACTACTCACAAGTAACTGTGCGTCAAATGCAAAGATTAATCCAACCTGGTAGGTATGTGGCGAGTCAGCATGGAAATCCTGACTTGGTGGTTGGTTTTCTATCCGAGTTAACAGGTTGTCATCTGTGTCTCCCTTCGTTGCTGTAGGATCAACTGAACTGACTGACCATCACTGAAGACAGCACCTGAACGAACGTGAATGGGCAATTTGTTTCACCCATGGCATGAACTATCGTTGGCACCTTGATTACACACACTCCTTCCATGTGATGGATCCGGAGTTCAAATCCCGGATGGGACGGTGGGTTCTCTGCTAATTAAAAAGGATTTACTTACGTGTATATTACGAGTTCTACCGAATACAACAGTATGCACTACTGATGAGCTCTAGTAAGAGCGCAAACTCGAGTCTATACCATTTTAAGATAGCTTTGAGAAACCATAATTTTCATTCGCGAAACCGTCATTTGGAATTGAGAAACCATCACTTAGACTTGAGAAAGAAACGCTGTGGTTGGATCCGCTTCCGTTCAGCGCACCTCATTGGTCAATTGATCATACATTTTTTCTACCCCCAGATCGACCACCTGTCTTCCCACGCTCTTTCTGTGCTGAAATGAGGTCGACCTCAGTCGTGCATCTTGTCGAGCTCTGTGACGGACGTCGAATGGGTGGGTCGGTGAAGCCATGCTTGTGACAACCAAGTGCGACACCACTCGATATGCACGGAGGACGCAGTGTTGTGCCCACTACAGCTAAAGTACATTTGCTCGTAGTTGCTATAACATTGACGATAGCTCAAGAATCGAAGCTGACCAGAGTAACTATGACAAGGGTCGAGTTTTGGGCTTACGGTGTCTCGACTCAAAAAGGTTTAGTCATGTCATTGCAGACGAGTAAGATCGAAAAGTATCGTAATACACTCTGAGGTCAATGACATGTTCGAAGAAAAAGAAAGGTGCACACAGCACTTGACACAAAAGATGACTTCGTGTTTCGTACCACTTATGACCTTGAAACCGCAAAACAGAGGCCTTTGCTTGGGATTTGCCTATACGTTTTCGAAGCTGCGATGCCCACTCGCAAGAAGCATCAAACTATTAAAATACAAAATTATTCGTCTTACCAGGAGACTTAACGTCCTGGCTGTTCATTCCGTTTCCTCTTAAGCAGAATCATGTGTTTTCCTGTTTCACTCACCATAAGTCACATATACAGCTACACCTGTTCACTTCATATACAGTATGATGTCAGGGAATTGTCACCCCCATTTTTATCATTCCCACTTATGTTTTATTCATTAGTCTAACAATCTACTATTTTTGTTTGCACAGAGCAAGCAATGATCCGGCGATTTTTACGAATTTACTACATATTTCGAAGAATACCTCTCGAGTGCTTCCAATGAAATCTGGAGTCGAGGAGAAATATTATGCAATCTGATGAATAGAGCAAATAAAACACTAA